GGGGGGCCCCCGGCGGGGGCCCCCAGGCCTGGCTGGGGGCCCCCTGCAGGCCAACTGCAGCGGGAGAGAAGGCCCCGCTGCTGCGGGACGCAGCAGCAAAAGCTGCAGCAGCACAGGTAGATGGGGGGCCCCCCGTGGACTCGAACATTCCGACGGGGGCCTCGAGTTCTGTAGTGATTCAAATGAGCGGGTCGAAGCAGGTGCAGCAGGGGCCCCCGGCGGCCTCCAAGGACCCCCTCCCGCAGCAGCAGCAGCAGCAGCAGCAGCAGCAGCAGCAGCTGCTGCTGCAGAGGCGCAGCGCAGCAGAAGACGCCCGCTGGAGCAGCTGCAACGGCTGCCACAGGGCCCACCTGCTGGGCTGTGGGGTTTCGAAGGCCCTGGCAGCAGACAGGAGGCCTTTGAAAATGATTTCTCATGTCTTTGGAGAATCTGCTGCTCCCCCCAAGTCCGGCTGCTGCTGCTGCTGCTGCTGCTGCTGTGCTGCTGCTGCTGCTGCTGCTGTTCGGCTACGCTGGGCAGCGGGGCGGCGCTGCTGCTGTTGCAGCTCTGCTGCCGAGAGTGCTGCTGCGCGGCTGCTTCGCTTGGCGTGCGGTTCGGAGCTGCTGCTGCTGCTGCTGCGGCTCTTGCTGCTGCTGCTGCTGCTGCGTGTGCTGCTGCTGGGAAGCATGTGGGGTGGATTTGCTGCTGCTGCTTTGCTGCAGAGGCTCGCAGTCAGTGGATGAGCACACTATTCTGAGGGGCCGCATGAAGTTGATAGACCAGTGAGCAGCTGCAGCACTTTGGGGCTTTCTTTGCATGCAAATGGCGCTTTTGGGGCTTTCTTTGCATGCAAGTGGCGCTTTTGGGGCTTTCTTTGCATGCAAAAAGGCCTTTAAAGCTGCTGCTGTGATTGGCTTCTCTCTCCTTGCAAAAAGCTGCTGCTGCACTCCCCTCTAGCGTTTGTTTTGGCCCTGGATCCGTGCTACTGCGTGCTTCCTGCTGCTGCTGCTGCTGCTGCTGCTGCTGCTGCTGCTGCTGCTGCTGCTGCTGCTGCTGCTGCTGCAGCTGCCGCGTGGGCTCCTGTCTCAGCCGCTCGGAGGCGCTGGCTGTCTCCACCTTCCTCTGCTGCGCCGAGCGCTGCTTCCAGCCCCCCACGATCTCCCCGCTGCTGCTGCTGCTGCTGCTGCAGCACATGCGGCCGATTCGCATCCGCTCTGGAGTCCAGGTCAGCCTCCCGCAGCAGCAGCAGCAGCAGCAGCAGCAGCAACAACGGCAACGGCAACTGGCCCTCCAGCGGTGGTAACACCAGATTTTTAACAGCAGCACGTGGAGCAGCAGCAGCAGCAGCAGCAGCAGCAGCAGCAGCAGATGTGGTATTCTCTGTGCTGCTGTTCAGATATTCACAAGAGGCGTTAGGGCCCACCACGCAGCGCTGGTGCTGCAGGTAAGAACTTTTGGTCTTTTGGGTTTTTCCACTTTTGCTGCTGCTCCTCAACAGCAGCAGAGGGGCTCCCCAAGGGCCCCCAACGGGGCCCCACACTTGCTGCTGAGGCAGCTTTGGACCCTTTGGGGGCCCCCTTGGGGGCCCCGTGGCATCTGCAACATTGTGGGGCCCCTATGGGGCCCCTGAGGGGCCCCTGTGGGGCCCCTGTGGGGCCCCTGTGGGGTCCCTGTGGGGCCCCCTATGGGGCCCCTGTGGGGTCCCTGTGGGGCCCCCTATGGGGCCCCTGTGGGGTCCCTGTGGGGCCCCTGTGGGGCCCCGTGTGGGGCTCATGCGGGGCCAATGTGGGGCCCCCTGTGGGGCCCCTGGGGGGCCCCTGTGGGGCCCCTGTGGGGCCCCCTGTGGGGCTTATGTGGGGTCACTGTGGGGTCGCTTGGCATGGGTTCTCCCCTATGGATTTTCGTTGCTGCTGCTGCAGTACTGCCTCTGTTGCTGTTGCTGCAGCACTTGCTGCTTTGCTGCTGCTGCTGCTGCTGCACTGCCTCCTCTGCTGCTTGCCTCTTTGCCTCCTTTGCTGCTGCTGCCGTGCTGCTGCCTTTGCTGCTGCTGCAGTGCTGCTGCTGCTGCTGCTGCTGCTGCTGCTTGCTGCAGGGGCGGCTGAAGCTGGAAGTTGGCTGCGAGCGCATTGCATGCCGTGTGGGGCCCTGGACAACTTTGGCAATGCATGTAAGTTTTAAAAACTTTATTTTTATTTTTATTTATTTTTTAATTTTTATTTCTTTTTATTTCTTTTTCCCTTTTTGTCTTTTATTTCCCTGACTCCTGCTGCTTTCTTTTGTCTTTTTTTTTATCTTTTTTTAATTCTTTTTTATCTCTTTAAAATTTCTCTTCATCTCTTTTTTGTCTTTTTTTGTTTCCTTTATATTTCTTTTTATCTCTCTTATTCCCTTTCGCTTCCTTTTACTTTTTATTCTTTTTAGATCACTTGCTGGCCCGTTGGTCCTTGCTGCTGCGAGGCTCCGTCTGCTGCTGCTTCTGTCGCTCCACATTGCTGCTGCTGCTGCTGCTGCTGCTGCTGCTGCTGCTGCAGTGCCTCAACATAGAGGCGGTGCCTGCTGAATTCCAGGCGAAGCGAGACCGGCTGCAGCAGGTAATAGGGACAACAGATTTGTCTCCCTTTGGTTTGATGGGTCCTGGGGGCCCCCTTGGGGGGCCCCCTGGGGGCCCCCCCGGGGGGCCCCCGGAGGGGGCCCCCGGGGGGCCCCCCGGGGGGCCCCCCGAGGGGCCCCACGAGCACGCCGAGGCCCCCACGGCGGGCAGCTGCGGCTGCATCTCCTGCATTAGCGAAGGAGACACTACTGAGGGGCCCCTGCGTTTCCAGAATGCAGCAATGCACGGGTACTGCGTGCAGCCAAGCCGCAGCAGCAGCAGCAGCAGCAGCAGCAGCAGCAGCAGCAGCAGCAGCAGCAGCTGGGCGTGCCAGACAGCCTCCGTCTGCAACGGGGCCCTGGCGCTCTACGGAAACCCAGAAGCTGCTGCTCGCCCCCGCTGCGTCTCTGAGTTGCTGCTGCCGCAGCTGCAGCACCCCGCCTGCGCGCGGGGAGCTACACCCAAAAAGGAGACAGCAGCAGCAGCAGCAGCAGCAGCAGCAGCAGCAGCAGCAGCTAGCAGCAGCGAGTGCAGGGGCCCCCCGTCGCTGGGGCCCAGGGGCCCCGACGAAGCAGCGGGGCTGCAGCACTTCGCAGGCAAGACTTGCCACCCCGCAGGGGACAACACGCTGCCCGACGGCAGCAGCAGCAGCAGCAGCTGCAGCAGCAGCAGCAGCAGCAGCAGCTGCAGCTGCAGCAGCAGGCGGAGCTGGTGGGTGGGCACGGCTGCTCGTGGCAACAGCAACAGCAGCAGCAGCAGCAGCAGCAAGGGCAGCAGCGGCCGGAGCCGTTCTTTGTCTCTTTTAGCAGCTGCAGCAAAACAAAAAAGAAAAAAACCATTTCCAAACTTAATTAGTCCCCCTTTGTCTCCTCCCCCGTCAGAGGGCACAGCAGCAGACTCAGAGCCGCAGCAGTTGGGGGGGGCCCCCCGCCTCCGGGGCCCCCGGGGCCCCCGGGGCCCCCGGGGGCCCCAGGGGCCCCAGGGGCCCCAGGGGCCCCTGCCTGGCTTGGGTTCTGGGGCTGCTGCTGCTGCTGCTGCAGATGCAGCAGCAGCAGCAGCAGGAGAGGTGGAGGGCCAGAGGCGGCCCTCGGCCAGCGCAGCAGCAGCTGGCAGCAGCAGCAGCAGCAGCAGCAGCAGCAGCAGCAACTGCAGCGAGGCAGAAGGCCGGAAGCAGCAGCAGCGGGGCCCCCAGCGGCTCTTCAAGCTGCGCACTTGTCGACTCCGAGGGTACAGAGAGCTTCGGGGGCGGCGGCCAAGGGCCTCTTCTGCTGCAGCTTTGCTGCCAGTCCCTCCCGCAGCAGCAGCAGCAGCAGCAGCAGCAGCAGCAGCAGCAGCAGCAGCAGCGTCTCCGGCGGGGAAGGTGGAGTGCTGGAGCTGCAGGTCGGGCACTGAGTCCAGTGATGGCCCTGAGGGGGCCCCTGTGCATGCGCGCTGCGCTGCCTTTGGCTCCCGGGGGCCTCGTGCTGCTGCTG